GTGTCTGGACCCCTTCTGTATGTCCCTGCAGCACCCACCATTGTCAATCAACACATGAAGACACTTAGGGAGAGCGTGTGGCGGAACTTAGAATTCTAGGGTGTCGGGTATAGCTCAATGGTAGAGCGCATGCCTAGCATGCACCAGATCCTGGGTCCAATCCCAAGTACCTCTATCAAAAAATAAACAAGTAAAAAAATAAATAAATAAAAAATAAACAAGTAAACCGAATTACCTCTCTCTGCTAAAAAAAAATAAATAAAAAATAAAGAATTCAAGCAGTGAAACCTGAGTTTAAGTGAGCTATGAACCCCATGAACCATCAGGGCTTTCCCTGTGCCAACACAACTGGACACAGGGGGTTGCGGCCTAGGATGTCTGGATGGAGAGTCTCAGCAGTCTATGGACAAAGTCTCCTGCTCCCAGACCCATTCCAGTACTGGGTCCCCTTCCTCAACGCCCGGCGTCTTTGTCTCTCCATCCACCACCTCCATTTCAGGGCAGGTCCGAAGAGCACAGGTGGTAAGAAGCATTTTGAGCTCTTCAAAGAAGGGCAGGGCTGCTGTAGGGCAGCCGCAGCCTCAGATCAAGGGGGAGGCTGGCCTCTAATTGTTACACTCTGGGATGCTTATGAAGTCAGCTCATTACACCCCCATCCCACCCAAACTAAGGGTGTGTCCACTGCCTCTAGTTTCTCTCTGCTTCCTGTCAGCCTGGTTGTCCTGCATGGTGACGGCTGTGGTCCCAAACAAAGATGGCATCGGAGACACGTTATAAAGTGGGAGATGGGGAGGAGGCCATGCTGAAGAAGGAAACGCTTAATGTTCTGAACGCACTCAATCAAATGCCGAAGCCCTTTCCGAACCCCAAATCTATGAACAGGACCGTCACTACCAAAGGACTCCCACTTTCCTCAAGGGGCAGTTTGGTTAACTTCTTGGAGGAAGATGCCATCAATCTACCGTAAGACATAAGTCTGGTCCTTTTCTCCTGTTTAAGGCCAGAGCTGGGGGCTGGGGAGAGGGGCTTGAAGAGGCGGTACTTCCTTGAGTTATCACAGCCCAGACTCTGGACTCCCAGGGAGGAGCACGTGTACAGGTTGCCTATGGATTCCTGACCCCAAGTCAGTTCTTGGAGACACGCTGGCCTCTGGTTCCAGGAAGCCTTCTGGGATTAGTCAGAGGTTTGCTGACCATACTGCTCATCCTGCTGACCATACTGCACCCCTACACAACATCGCTGCCCGACTCCACTCGCCATGGCTTCTTTCCCGCGGTCCTCCCTAGTGTGACTTCCCCTGCCTGGTTGTGTCCCCCCAGTAGCCTGCCTGCCTTCACATTGCAATTTACTGTTCTTCCTCAGTGATTCTGTGTTCCCTTTACTTCATTTTACAAAACTCTTTGGGCACTTACAAGGTGTCTGGCCCAGAGTTAAGCTCTGGGAACGGAAAGCCAGAAAGCACAGTCTCCCAGCCTGGGGTGTGTGTGTGTGTGTGTGTGTGTGCTGGAGAGGGTGTCAGGCAAGAATCAAGAATATTACCGCGTGGTCTGCACTATGACAGGACAACCAGAGGGGACTTAGTATAACCTGGGAGAGTGAAGGTAAGGAAGGCTTCTTGGAGGAGGCGATACTCTTAGGAAGGGAAGGAGTTAGCCAGTGAAGGGCCGGTGGTATGGGTTGATGTGGGCTGAGGGAATTATCCGCAGGGAAGTTGCATGGGTGTGTGTCCTGTGCAGTCACACACAGCCCCACACTTAGAAGGGCCCTGTGCTTGGTTTAATGCTCGGATGTCACTGTCATGACAGTCTTAGTAATTTTTGAATTATTGAACCCCAAACTATATTGCCAGTCCTGATTATATGAAAGGGGTATGGTGTCCACTCCGTAAGGGACCTGTACATTAGCCTGTATGGCTAAAGTGATGGATGCCTGTAGGAAGCTTCACGGTATAATGGGAAAGTCTTGGGCTAGGAACCCAGTTTAAATTCCAGTTCTACCGCTTAGATATGTGGCCATAGACAAGTTGATTAAGATCAGGGACTCTCAGTCCCTCAATTGTAAAATGGGGCTGGCGCCATCTAGCAGGGCTGTAGTGAAGATCGCAGAGACTTTTCGTCCAGCATGGAGCCCAGTGCCCCTTCAGTACTGGTGTTTCCAGTAAGTAAATCTAAAACAGAGATTCATTAAGACAATCTATAGGATAACTGACATCAATGCCCAGACTGTTCGGCCTACAAAGGGCCTTGCAGGGAAGGGGACCCAGAAAGCACCAGGGGCAGATGGGAGCTGTGTGGCATGGGCCCCAGGAGATCTAAGTTCTGGTTCCAAACTCTGCCATCAATTCACCTTGGTCGAGGTACGTGGTTCCCAAAGGCCCTGTGACTGCTCTCTCTTCATACTGTGGGTTGTGACTCACGAATGGGTCAGAAACTCATTCTAGTTGGTGGAGACCGGTATTATAAAAATAAAATAAAATAGAATTGAAAATTCCACAGCACATCACACACAGAGTATTAGTTTCTGAAACGTTTTAGTTATATGTGTATGTGTGAGTATACTGGCTTGCCAAGAAATATGTATTTCTTATTTTGGGTCAAGATAAAAAAAAGATTAGAAGGCCGAATTTTCTGGATTCTGTATTTCATCAGTAAAAAATTTTAAACAGGTGGGGAAACATGTGCAAGGATTCTCTTTGTAATAACAAAGAATTGGTAACAATGAAAATATTCCACTTAAGGGAAAAAAACATGGAGTAGTTCAAATGACTGAAGCAGAGCAGATTAATCTAAAAAATACGATGTTTCTTAGTAAAAAATGGCAAGCTGCAAATGGAGGTGTACACAGTGATACCACTTATTTGTATAAAGTTTAAAAATATGCAAAATAATGACATACGAATGTAACAAACCAAAACAACACATGGGTAATAATAAACATAAAATTGTAAATTTACCACCCTGGCTGCCCCTAAGTGGAGGATGAGGAGAGAGGTCGGGGAGCAAAGCATATAGGGGACTTTAACTATACTGCTAAAGCTTTAGTTCTGAGCTGGATGGTGGCTATATGGAAGCTTAATATATTATTATTTTTTTCTCACTTTATCATATGGTCATCATTTTCAGTTTTATTGAAACATAATTGACACCTAACATTGCATTAGTTTAAGGTGTACAACATGATTTGATAACCGCATATATTGTGAAATCATTACCCCGATAAGTTTAGTTACCATCTGTCACCACACAGTTATAAACTTTTTTGTGTGATGGGAACTTTTAAGATCTAATCGTATAGCAGTTTTCAAATATACAATACAGTATTGTTAGCTATAGCCATCATTTTGCATATTATATCCCCTTTAATATATTATTCATGATGTCTTTGAGTGTATCTAAAATATTTAATGATTTAAAAAAATTTATCAAGGATGAGCCACCTGTTCTCTTTGCTTAGCCCTGCAGTAAACCTTTCTCTGAAAAACTTTCTCAAAAAAAAAAAATTAGAACGGAAGAAAAAAGTTTTTGAGCATTCACCCCAATATGTGTATATTTATCTGTACCGTTAATTTTTTATGCTATAGATTAACAAATATTGTTAAATGTTATAAAATCTAAGTAAATAAATTATTAATTATATTAAATAATAAACAGTAGTAAATAAATATTAATAAAGCTTAATATAGTATTTTTTAGATACTTTTAGGTATTTTTCCATATCCCAATAGATCGTTGTGGTGTGTGTGAAAGTTTTAGCAGTGTTTCTAAAAATGTGGTTCTCAGAATACTTACAGCAGAATCATCTGAAGATGTTATTAAAGATGCTTTAGCAGCTTCCCTGGTCCTATCCCAACTGGGGACCAGGGACCAGGAATCTACATTTTTCATTAATAAGTGCCCTGGTGAGGTTGATGCACTGCCGCAAAGCAAGACTGTTCTGAGATGTTCAGAAGCAGCGGGGGGCGCTGGTGAGTTGGGCCCAAGGCCTGCTCACCAGGAGCTTCCAGGTAGCAAGGGCTGGGGTTGCCTCATTTTTCCGGTTCACCTGTCTCCCCTCCCACTCCAGGAAGCAGATGCCAATGGAGGATTCTGAATGCAGCTCCGATGACACCAGCATCTCCCCGATGTCATCCACCCTGTTGAATCCCATCAAATTGGCCGTGACCCAGCCCAACAGCAGCTTCTTTGCAGGGATACTGGAGGGCGAGCTGAACAAACTCAGCTTCTCCTCAATGGCCAAGAGTACAGAAAAGGGGAATCTGGCCCTCTGCCCCCAATCTAAGTCCCAAATAGCCCCCGGGGGCCTGCTGGACCTTGACAATCCGGAGGTGGACACAGACACCTCCTCGACGCCCTCGGAGTCCTCTGTGGTCATGGATGTGCCAGAGGCACCCTTCATCTCTGAACACACGGTCAGCGATTCCACAGCTGTGGTACGTTTCCCTACTGATGCACTTGGTGAAGGCTCACTGGCCACCTTCGATGTGCCAGGCACTGACCTGAGCTCACTGAGGGGTGTGAGGATGCCTACTGCCTACATCCTGACTTCAAGTTCATGGGTTAGGAGAAAGGGCATGTCTGTAAAGAACTCCAGTGCAAGTTAGAGAGGGCTCAACGCTGTAGGAAGAGTTCAGATCCAGGGCCACCAGGGATCCAGAGGGAAAGAAGTGTTGCTTCCAGGTGCAGGAATAAGCTGGGTGGCTTTTAGTAACATTTGGGCTGGGCCACAGCAGTAGGATTGAAACATCTAGAGATGGGGAAAGGCATTCCGCGGAGGGCTGACACTGGCAAAGGCTCACAGGTGAGAAAGGGAGGGAGGAACCACCCAGTTCCTGATCCAGGGCTTCTCACACTTCCCTGAGCCTGCAGATCTGATCATCTGGTTACAAACAAGATTCCTGGGCCTCATCCCTAGAGGTTGATTCAGTAGGTCCGGGTTGCCTGAGAATCTGCGCTGCTAACAAATCCCCAGGTGCTGCTGCTGGTCCACGGACCACATGCTGAGTAGCACTGTCCTAGATACAGGAAGGAAACAGGGCAGGAGCTAGTCTGGGGTCATTTTCCAGAGCTCCTCTAATGTTACGCTACTTTATAGATTTTTTGGTAAGCCATAAGGATTAGTTTTGGCAAAGCCTAATACGGTGATAGTTGCAATCTGAGCTGTATTTTGGAAGATAAATCTGGAAGTCCCATTGTTGGATGGCCTAGAGCACTGTTTCTCTAAGTGTGGTCCCCAGACCACCAACAGCATCAATATCATATAGCAACTTGTGAGACTTTTTTTTTTGAATTAACTTGTTAGAATTTTAAATTCTCGCTCTCCCCACCCCCTGCTTGGGACCTCCTGAACCAGAAACTGGGGACAGGGGCCAGCGATCCATGTTTTAGCAAGTTCTCCAGGGTATTCTGATGCACATCAAAGTTTGAGAACCACTAGCCTAGACAGAGGAGAAACGAAATGGCAGACAAGACAGGTGATTGCTAAGATCCCTTTCAACTGACACAGCCTAGACTATGCAGTGAGGGTACACTGTGAGGTGGGTAGGGCTGCCCAGGGAATGCAGCTTATGCTCTGGGCTGGTGGGTCCACATCTAGCTTTGGGAGTGCCCTGTAACACCTTCCATCAGCAGAGCAGGGATGGGTGGGGCATTCTGACCCACATTGCAGGAGGTGGTGGGGGGAGGCCAGGCCAGGTCTGAGGAAGCCTTGGGGGTTCTCTTCCCCTAGATTTCCTGGACCTATGCCCCGGGCAAGCAGCAGGTCAGTTTCTACCAGGTCCTGTTGCAGGAGGTGGTCAGGAAAAATGACAATGAGCTGCCCAAGGCAAAGAACCGCCCATGGATCTTCAGCAAGATCTTGGGCACCACCGTCAAGCTGATGGAGCTGAAGCCTAACACGAGTTACTGCCTCATTGTCCGCGCGGCCAACACCGCTGGTGTGGGGAAGTGGTGCAAGCCCTACAGGGTGAGCCCTGGGAGAGGAGGGGCCCGACAGGAGCCGGGGGCTGGACCGGGGGCTTTGGGATTGGGAATCCCCCTACACCCTCATGTCTCGTCCTCCTGCTCACTTCCCTTCTCCCCGAGCATAGAAGAGTCAAGTCCCAGCTGCTCTCCTCTGGGAGGTTAAGGCACTCTGGGGCCCTGGGAATGCAAACTGATCTGTTCATTCATTTCTAAACTTTGTCTTCCAAAGCCATTGGTTTTTGGATTCTTCAACTTAGTACTGATAATTGTGAGTGGGTCAGGAAGTCAAGGGCATTGAGGGAAAGAGAGGGAAGAGGCTACAGGGATACAAAGAAGGGGACAGCCTGGGGGTGGGCAGGGGAGGCTTGAGGAAAGACAGCCCTGAGGTTGGAAATAGCACACAACTGGGGAGGCACAGATTTTTATTTAATTGAAGCATAGTTGATTCACAATGTTAATTTCTAGTGTACAGCATAGTGATTCATTTGTACATATATATATATTCCCTTTCATATTCTTTCTCATTATAGGTCATTACAAGGTATTGAATACAGTTTCCTGTGCTATACTGTAGACCTTGTTGTTTATCTATTTTATATCTAGTAGTTAGTAACTGCAAATCCCGAACTCCCAGTTTATCCCTCCCCACCCCTTTCTCTCCTGATAACCATAAGTTTGTTTTCTATCTCTGTGGGCCTGTCTCTGTTTTGTAAGTAAGTTCATTTGTGCCCACCCCTTTTTAGATTCCACATATAAGTGATATTATATGGTATTTTTCTTTCTCTGTCTTACTTCACTAGTGTGATGATCTTCAGGTACACTCACATTGCTGCAAATGGCATTATTTTATTCTTTTTATGTCTGAGTAGTATTCCATTATATAAATATACCATAATTTCTTTATCCAGTCATTTTTTGATGGACATTTAGGCTGCTTCCATGTCTTGACTGTTGTAAATAGTGCTGCTATGAACACTCGGGTGCATATATCTTTCCAAATTAAGAGTTTCCTCCAGATATATGCCCAGGAGTGGGATCGCTGGATCACAGAGCAGGTCTATTTTCAGTTTTTTAAGGAATCTCCATGCTGTTTCCATAATGGCTGCAACAAACTACATTCCAACCAACAGTGTAGGAGGGCTCCCTTTTCTCCACAGCCTCTCCAGCATTTACCATTTGTGGACCTTTTAATGATGGCCATTCTGACCAGTGTGAGATGATTGTGGTTTTGATTTGCATTTCTCTGATAGTTAGCAACATTGAGCATTTTATCAAATGCCTATTCGCTATTTGTATGTCTGCATTGGAGAAATGTTTATTTAGGTCTTCTACCCATTTTTGGATTGGGTTTTTTTGTTTGCTTGTTGTTATTAAGTTGTATGAGCTGTATGTAAATTCTGGAAATTAAGCCCCTGTCAGTCTCACTGTTTGTAATTATTTTTTCCCCATTTCGTAGGTTTCTTTTCGTTTTATTCATGGTTTCCTTTGCTGTGCAAAAGCTTCTAAGTTTAATTAGATCCCATTTGTTTAATTCTTGCTTTTATTCCTATTGCCTGGGTAGGCTGCCCTAGGAAAACACTGCTATGATTTATATCACAGAATGTTTCGCCTATGTTCTCTTCTAGGAAGTTTATGGTATCCTGTTCTGTGTTTAAGTCTTTAAGCCATTTTGAGTTTATTTTTGCGTATGGTCTGAGGGAGTGTTCTAACTTCTCTGATTTGCATGCGGCTGTCCAGCTTTCCCAGCACCACTTGCAGAAGAGACTGTCTTTTCTCCATTGTCTGTTCTTGGGGAGGCACAGATTTGAATCGTGCCTCTTTGCTCCTGTTTCTGGTGTCAATGAATAGTTCGGTAAGGCTGCTGGAGATCCCATTTAGCAAACAGAACAGGGAGCGAGGGGTGGCAGAGTCGAAGAGGTGAGGTGGCAGGCTCAGACCTGTGAAGGAATCCTGAGGACTTCTATTTTATTTCAGTTCGCAACCGTGGCCAATGACTTGAGCAGCTTCCCTGAGAACAACCCCATCCAGATCACTGTGCGGCGCAAGGAACCCCGGCGGAAAACTGTGTCCCTTGGGCTGGAGGACATGCGGAAGCTAGAAGATCTGGAGTACCTCTTTCCCTACTAGAGGGGCCCTGGGAAGCCCCTACCTTCAGCTTCGGCCCAGGGCCTTCAGGAACCAGAACCATGAAATGTACCACCTGCACCATGCCAGGGAGCCGCTGACCACCCTGCTGGCCCTGGTCTGGTGGCAGTAGTCCCAGAACACCACCTCTGGGCTGGGGCCAAGGCTGGATGGGAGCTCCACTCACCTGGAGACACCATAGGCCAGGCCAGGTCAGCCTCCACTGCCTGCAACTACTAGGCTTCCTTCCCCAGATCTGGGCTGGTCCAAGTCCCTCATTAAAAACTGGAGGTCACCAAGCACCCTTAAACTCTGCTTCATCCTCCTAATGGCCTCAGCTGAGCCACTGCCACCCATCCTCCTGGCTTCTGCCAGGACCAAGAATCCAGGTGGGTGGGGGGACAGGGGCAATGAGATGTTACTACCACCTCCTGCCTGGCTCTGCCAACATCACCCTTTCCCCGTAGAAGGAAGAGGTGGTCCTCAGAGACTAAAACACACCAAAACACCCCAGCAATGTTGGACAGAGGTAGTGGCAACCAGCAGACTGTCAGCATCAGACCTGAGCTCCGCAGGACATGGTGCAAAGTGCACAAGCTTCGGGGGGAGGGTCTGATTTAACCATGGCCCTTCCTAGATGTGAGGGCATGGGCAAACCACTCAAGCTTCCTGGGCTGGGTTTCCTCACCAAAAATATGGGGATGCTGAGACCCTTCTAGGCACGGCCACAGGGTTACTGTGAGGGTCATGTAGGAGCACAGAACAGTGCCTGGCACTGAGCAGGACCTCAGACCCCTCTTTGCCCCTCCTCAGTCCCATTGCAGAGATGTGCCAGGTGGAAGCCGAGAACCACAGCCAGGTGATGTGCAAAATCCTAAAAGCACAGATGGGAATGGGGGATGGTGAGAAGGAACAAAAGGTCAGAGATGCCGTGGCCCCCAGCAGCCCATACAGGGATGGTTTGCAATTCAATCTGGCTACATGCACTTTAGCATTGGAACAGAAGAAAGTGGAGGCAAGATGATGGAGGGTAAGACCTTGCTCTAGGGTCTGAGGACGTCCTGGTGGGGATTCCCTTCACTATGTGAAAGTCCTTGTGGGGCAGACAACCATCACCCCAATCACACCACACTAACTTGCACTGGAGCTCTCACCACTGCATGGCCTGTTAGGGGGAGCCCTCTGGGACACCCCTGCCTTCCTCTCTGTACCCCGAGAGTCCAGTGGTGCTGCATGAGAGGTCGAGGAAAGCACCCCCAGAGCAGCACTGGCTGGCACAAGTCCCTATGATGGTTAAAGTGTCCTCCATCTGTGCTGTCCAGATCAGCAGGCAGTCCTGAACTAGTGTGACAACTGCATTTCTAAGTGGACTGAATTCGAGTTGATGGAAACAGTCACACAGGGTTGGTGCTACCAGAGGGGACAGCACAGACTGAGGTCACCCTCTGGCCACTGACATACAGGCTTCAGCTGGCCTCCCCAGCTTTGACTGGCCTCCCCCTCGAAGGCACAGGGGCAAGAGAGGAAAGGCAACTCCCTGGCCACTACAGTTTTGATTTGTTTTGCCCAGAGGGAGGGTGCTACACAGACTGACCTAACACAGTCCTCCGTTGAGCCCTACGAAGAATTATAACTCAAACGAACAAAACATAAGTTATTTATTTGGTCACAGAATCCGGGGTCTGACCCTGAATAGAGAGGGCATTCAGAAAAGGAGGCAGAAGCATCACCTGGCCTCGCACCACTCCAGCCAGCACCAGCGAGGTACTGAGTGCTGGCCCAGGGCTGGGCTCAGTGATAACCTCCCATGACCTTCAGTCTCCTGCTCTGGGAAGGGACCCCACTCGGGTCTGTCAGAGGACAGCAGGCCTCACTCGTTCTCAGCCTTTGGTCTCCGTCGGGGCAGGTGGCTGGCAGAGGCTGGGTCCAGGTGATGGACCCAGAGAACATGGGATTTCTTATCTTCTCCATCTGTGGAGAAGGGGAGGGAAGAGGATGGGGATCCCAGGGAGGCGTCACAACCCCAGGAGCCCACAACAGGGGAGAGCTTGTGGTTCCTCTTGGGCTTCGAGAGTCCAGCTACCCAAACTGAGGCGAGGCACCCTTGCTGCCTGGGCCAGGACCTCTTCCCGGATGTCCAATGTCATCAATGTCCAATGACAACAGTGACAATCCTTTAACAAGTGTGCAAAGCTCAGGTTCCAGTGCGTTCACCTATCTTTGACCCTCCTGTCTACCGAGGTTTGACAACTCCCAGGGGACACGTGAACTCAATCCTCTGAGACTGTACACTGAAAGGAAGACCCAGCATTTGAATGAGATCTCAAGACTCCAAAATCCAGCATGCTAAGAAGTACTGCCCCATGCTGGAGGGTACCATCGGGGTCTCCCATGATCCCCGTGATTCCCACAGCCCCCCGACTTGCCCAAAGAGCCCTGAGAACCGGACAGTCACACAGCCAAGCACACCAGCCACCCCCCTCCCCGACACTCACATCCGGAGACATTTGTCCTTCCCGCCACTCGCCACTCTCTGGCCGTCGGGACTCCAGTCGACAGCATATACCTAAACCGGGGAGGGGCAGGGGCACAGTGAGGACGCGGGAGAGGCGGGCCAGGCTTCACTTCCCCCTCCCTCAGCCTCGTGCCCACAAGGGTTGGCCGCACCTCATCCGCATGGCCTGGCAGGTCTGTGGCCAGCTTCTGGGCCTTCACATCCCACACCTTCAATGTGCTGTCACTGCTGCCACTGACCAGGAGTCGGCTGTCGGCTGACCACGCAATCTGGTACACGGCAGCCACGTGGCCACGCAGGGAAGCCAGGTACCTGGGCCAGGGGAAGATGATGGATATGAGCTCTTCCAACACGTCTGAGAGGTCCTCTGTGTCCACAGCAGTGGTCTCAACCTTGGCTGCATGTCAAGAGTTATGTGGGAACTTTTACAGGCGAACTTAATCACTATTGGTCATTACTCTGCAAAACTTCTCCAGATGAGTTGCTTCTAAGATGCCTCCGGGCAGGCCTCTGTGCCTGCTCACCTCTGCCAGCCTCAGAATCCAATGCAGCCATCTGCTTAGCCCACCTGCACGACAGCCCCCAGCCCCCAACAGGTGCCTGCTGACAGGTGGCTTGGAGATACAGTGGGCCAGGCCCACCAGGAACGTGGCTGGGACAGACTAGCTGTGTCTGCGGGCACAAGTCACCAGGCCTGAGACTCAGAGTCCTTACCTTAAAAGGAACTGAATGCCCTCTCTCATGGCTGCTGTGTGAAAATACACGGAGACTGACACACAAGTGCCCTTTGGCCTCAACAAGGGTCCCCTGCTCCTTCTCTCTTCCCGCCCAGGCCTCTGTCTCTCCTAAGTAACCCGAGGGCTTGTGCCTCATCACATCAGTGCTTCTCAGACTCGGAAGGTGACCTTAAAATGCAGATTCTGATTCTCAAGGTCTAGGGTGGGGCCCCAGGCTCTGTGCTTCTATCAAGACCCGGGTGATGCGCCGTCTGGTCTGTGGACCACACTCTGAGGAGGCCCGATAACGTCTGGACCACGAAGCTACACTCCTGCGCAGCCCTGGCCCTCCGCCAGCTGTCAGATGATTTCTCTCCTTAAATATGAGATGAACTAGCATTTTCAGTGCCCTCTTAGTGCTGGTGCTAAATACATCACCTCATTTAATCCTTGTAACAAAACTGAATCTGCACATTCAGAAGAGACAGATGCTCAGAAACACTTGCCAAGGCCAAATGGCCAGGAAGTGGCAGAGCCAAGTTCCTTCCAGAGGAACAGCACCCCCTAGCCCTGTACCCCAGGCCTAGGCCCCCCACTCACTTGCCCGTCCTGCCATCCCACAACTTGATGGACTTGTCAAAGGAGGCACTGGCGACGACACGGGAGTCTGGGGAGAAGAGCACCTGGTTGATGAGGGCCTGGTGCCCTGTCATTCGCGCCAGGGGCTTCTTGTCCTCTGCCGGGGACCACAGGAACAGGGTGAAGTCGTCTGAGCCAGACACCAGCCTCTCTGGGCCCTGGCCCTAGAGGAGGCAGAAAGCACACCATGTCAGACACAGTCTCCGAGAGGAGAGCCTGACCTCGGCAGCAAACACATCACTGACTGCTCAGGGCCAGCGTGGAGACCAGGACTGGAGAAAGGAGGCTGGGCCAGCACTAACTCACAGGGGTTACTCCCCCAAAAGGAAACTTCATGCGCATGAGACAGGGCTATTTCTATGACATAATTACATGAAAAAGCAAGGCACAGAGTGGTGTGTTAAAAAGGGGAAGTGTTTTACATGTGGGTTTGTATACGTGTGTGTATTTGTACTGGGTGCAGTGTACACATATACACGTATGTGTATACCTGAAGTCTCTGGAAGGAGACGTGAGACACTGGTAACACTGGATGCACCCAGAAAGCATGGATGAAGGTGTAACAGAGATGAGAGGGTTTCCACCATCTATCTTTTTGTGTTCTTTGAACCTTAGACCATGTGAGTAT